TCTTACTGGTGTGAAAGAACTCACTGCATATTAAAGTCTATTGGGACTTTACCATAGGCACTGAAAATAAATATATCTTACAGGTTTTTTTCCCCCACTTATTTATATATACATTTCATTTGTATGGGGACTTGCCTAAAATTTTAGGAAATAATAGTCATCATTCTTTTTCTATTATGGTTTCATATTTTCTATCCTATTTAGAAAGGCCTTCTTCACTCCACAACTACTTAAAAACTCACCTAAGTTTTCTTTTAGTACTTCCATGATTTCATTGTTATTCTTTGTCCAATCTAGAACTTATTTTGGTATAAAAAGCAGAGTTTTCTTTTTCCCAAATTATTAGCCAGGTTTCCCAAGACCATTAATTAATAACCTACGCTCCCTTCCCTGACTGATGGAAAACGCCGTCTTTGCCTTGCACTCATTTTCCATGTGCACACTGGGTCTCTTGGTCCACTATCCATTGTATCCCCCATCTCCCTTTTTCCATTTTTTCTCTGGGTCTTTTCAGAAGCTCCTCTAGAATTTTTTTTTGTCAATCTAAAGTGGAAAGTGTATCTCAAGCATGTTAACTTGCTTAGTTTTGTTTGATGTTTACATGCACAATGTTCCATAACCATCTGTACATGATGTTCCCTTCAGCGGGCTCAGACCTCACCCCATCACACACAGCAAGGCCACCATAAGGAGGCCAGACTCCATTGAACCACTTGTCATGGCTGGAGTCATCATGTCCCCCAAATTCATTGTTGGAGTCCTAACCCCAGTATCTCAGAATGGGACTTTATTTGGAAATAGGGCCTTTATAGATGTGATTAAATTAAAATGATGTTATTAGGGTGGGCCCTAATATGACTGTTGTCCATCCTTATAAAAAGGAGAAATTAGGACACTGACAGCCACAGAGAGAAGACAATGTGAAGATACAGGGAGAAGATGCTATCCACAAGCCAAAAAGCAGTAAAAAACCAACCCTGCCGACACCTTGATCTCCGAGTTCCAGCCTCCAGAAATGTAAGATGATAAACGTCTGTTGTTTAAGCTGCCCAGGCTGTGGAATTTGTTCCAGTGACCCTCGCAAACTAACACAGTTATGCACCGTATAACGATGTTTCAGTCAATGATGGACTGCATATACGACAGCGGTTCCATAAGATTATAATGCAGCTGGAACATTCCTATCGCCTAGTGACCTCACAGCCATCAAAACATCATAGCACAAGGCATTATTCACGTGTCTGTGGCGGTGCTGGTGGAAACAGACCTACTGCACTGCCAGTCATACAGCACATACGATATGAACAGTGCAAAATACTTGAGGGAGACAATAAACGACTGTTACTGGTGCATACATTGACTATACTGTACTTTTTATCGTTATTTTAGAGTGTACACTTTCTACTTACAAAAACACATTTGCTGTAAAACAGTAGTTGTGTTATGCTGGCAGCAGCCTCACATATCTCGTGTTTATCTCATCTCTTGGCTGCATCACTTCTTCTGTGCGTGATTTAATCTGATGTTGTTTTGTACAGTGACATGTGGCTGAGGGGCAATAGGCTGGACCGTACAGCTTAGATGTGCAGTAGGCTATACCGTCTAGCTTTGTGTAAGTGTACTCTGTGATGTTCACACAACGAAACTGCCTCACAACCCATTTCTCAGAAAATATCCCTGTCGTTAAGTGGCGTAACACTGTGCACCATTCTTCTAGTAGTAGATACACAATTTCCAGAAGAGATAAGCTAGAAAGAACATCTTGCACATATCTTTGCAGACATTGGTGGATCCTTCAGGGAGATTACTCATGACTCTTCTGTCTTCTTCCTAAAATGCATCCTTTCTCCAGTTACCAAGCTGCCTTTCTCTGACTGAACCATTGAAATTCCACCTGCATCACAAGTATTTCCACAATGGAATGGAAATGAATTTGAAATTGTCCTTTCCCCCCTGCTCTATTCCAACCCTGCAGGGCACCTTGTCCTCCCCGTCCCGACACTCCTGACAGTCACGTATGCAGAGAGCAGCACCTCTTCCCTGTGTGGGGACAGCCCCAGATGTGCAGGACAGCTATGCTCACTGTTTGAGGCGTGGTGCATCCTCTTACATGAGCTTCCCACAGTATTCTAGTTCACCCTGGATGGCAAATTTGGAAGTCAGCTTAATCTGTGCTGAAGAGAGATGTGCAAAAGCATTAGAAGTCTTCATATTAACCTCTCATTGACTCAGGATTTCTTGTGCACTTGCTATTGAATTTGCTTAATTTCTCAACACAAAGCTATAAAGATAATGTTTTCTGTAACTAATGGTAAAAGTGAGAAATCAACATGTCAAACTCAGCTTACGGCCTCATGTTGCCTTCTCAGGCTTCCTCGTGTCCACTGATACAACTTTCCATCTTCTCAGCACTAAGCATGACAGCAGATCCTTTTTCTACTCTTTACTAGAGTAGTGGATAAGAATTCTGGTTCTGGATTAGCAATACCTAGGTCTGAGGCCTCAAGTCACAGCAACATCACTTAGTGGTTGGACAAGTCATCTCACCTTCCTGGGTCTCACTGCTTTTCAGCAGGTTGGATTAGATGGTCCCTACATCCCTTCCACCTCTAACATTCCATGCATCCTTAAACATGCTAAGAAATTAATGATTTGAACCGGCAATTTCCTAAAAATCAGTATGGACTTGACAATGCCCATTGCCACCCTCTCCTTGGACACACTTTTTGCCTGAGCTACAGGATGGCTGGCCCAGCTCCCAGAGCAGCAGAGAACAGAGAAGCATCCGCCCCTGCTCTAGTGAGCTTCTCTCCCTCCACCTCACTGTCACTTCCTCCACGCAGCTATGACCATCAGCTGATTGGTGTTGCTAAAAAAAAGTAAAAAATAAAAAAGGAAGTGGTGGACTTCCGCTTCAAGCCTATGCAGCAGCTATAAATGCAAAGAAAGGAAAGAAACAGTATTAAAAACAATAACAGAATATAAACCCATAACCACTCTGGGAAGCAAAGGAAGCATATCACCAGTACACTGGAAACTATCGTGATCCTTGAAAGACGCAAAGCAAGATGGGCTCAAACTGAAGAGGGAAACCACAGCTGAAGTGCAGGCAGAGGAGACAGCTGTGAAGGTGAGAGAAACCTTGGAAATGACAGAGCCCTGGGGTGGAGTGGGGTGAGGCGGGGTAGGAGCAGCCAAGCTCTCTCCAAACCCTCAGCTGTGGGCACCCCAAAGAGCAACAGAAGTCCCTCCGCAAGGAAGCCATTCATTTAGAGAGGCAGGGCTTGGCCAGCTCTGTGAGGAACAGGGAGCTGCTGCACCCACACACTGGTTACTGACTCAGCCTGCCCTGTGCGCATCTCACCCACCTCCTATCTCACAGGGGACAGGCTACGAGAGGGCCACACAACAAATTCAGCCTTAAAAACCTAACTCCTAGGGCACCTCAAAAACAAAGACCAGCCCTGGGTGGGGTAAAATACCTAGAAATAACAAGCACACCATGAAAGCTAACGCCATGAAGGAAAGACACCAAATGAGTAGATGAGCTGCTGCCAAAGACCGGTCAAGGAGCAGGAGGAGAATGTCCAAACCGGAACCAAGTGGAATAAAAAGAACCAACTGTCATAAAAACCAAGAGCCTAATGAATTATTAAAAAGTAAAGAATGAACTACGTTCCTTAGAAATGAACCACCTGCTTGCTAAAACATAAGACTCCACAGGTGGACTGAATAACAGGAGACAGGGCTGATCAGGTTAACCTGATGGCTTCATGAAACACAACACAAAGGGCAAAGAGAGGGAAAGAATGAAAGAAGTCCATTCACCGCAGCTCTGTTTATAACATCAAAAATTAGAGGGAAATGTCTATCAATAAATGGTATTTTCCATTCTATGGAATAAAACACAATGATCACTGCTAGGAAGGGCACCCCCAACCCTGGCATGTTGTTGTTGATGAAAAAAAGAAACTTGCAGAATGATATTGGTATTAAGACACACACACCAAATTGTATCTTCTGAAGATACATACATACCGAGGGTGCCAAAAAAATGTATACGCATAACTTGTATTCATCTTTTGTTATCGGTATATATTGAGCATTACAATTTTAACAGTTTTTTCCTTTCTTAAAATGCGTATACATTTTCTTTGGCACCCTCTATATATACACAGGATGGATGAGTGGAAGAAAATAGCCCCAGCTGCCCTCCCATGGTGGGGTAGGCTGGGGCTGAGGGCGGTGGTCAAGGAGGGTGTTAGTGCTGCCGTATCTAAATTCTCTCTTCACTGATGGATCTGTACTTGTGCATCGTTACACAATTTAACCCTTTTCAAAAAGAAAATGATGTTCTCCCACCTTGGAGGTCAGAGAAACTAACTTCAGAAATGGCATTTACTCATCTGTGACCTGCTTGGGAGTGCTATTATTAGCCTCCACCCAGACACCCAGCACCACTACTGGGAGAGGCCGTGTCAGTTATGTCAGTTCTAACCACAGGCCAGCTACGGGCGGGCACTGCTCTCATGGTCCACTGTGCATCACAATGAAACACTCTTTGATTGTCCCATCTACGCAGACTGAAAGAGGAGCTTAAAAACACAGAATGGAAATTGAACCCTGTGGGACTTCAGACCTCTACTCTCAACCACTGTTGATAAAAATATTCAGTAAATATGCCTTTGAGGCATTATAGCAATCAAATGATTAAAATATTCTTAGCATTTAGGATAAAATTAACCAGTGTTCTACTTCAACTCATGCAAAGCCTCAGGATCTTGTAAAGGGGCAGCAGGAGGTCACCCAGTGTTTCCGAAAGCAGACTTTAGGAGCTCCTTTTCCCAAGGTGCTCCAAGAACCACTTCCCATGGCCATGGACGTGTGGGAAAACAGGCTGACAAAGCCCTTCCACACACATCGCCTGCACAGAGGTTCTGAAGAATCCCACTGCTTACTCCCTGCTTTTGCAACTTTATTCCATCCAGCACATCACTTACTTGAGCAAGGAAAGCTCCCCTGGAATACCATTTAAAATTGCACCGCACTCGCTCCAGGAATCAAGGGCACCCAGGCCAGCCATCTGATGAAAGTCCTGGACTCGGACCAAACATTCCTGGGAAAGTACATGTTCCCATCAATCAGCTCATAAAACATCAGTGTCACATCAAACACACAGGTGACACTGAGACTGATTTTAAGTGAAGATGTTAGCTGCTAAACTGGAGTTAAAAATAATCTTTCACTAAGTATGATTCAGAATATGTCCTGTTGGAAAAAATTACAAAGGTTCTATGCTACAAATAAATAAATAACCCTAGAAATAACAAGTTTGGGGAAGTGTTTTCAACAATTATGACAATGGGTTTATAATAAATAAAATGTACGTGAATGTTAGTAAGAGGCATGCTAAGACCCCAAAGCGTAAAACAAAAGGTCAATTTGTAGGAAATGTATTTACTCAAACAATTCCCAAAAATATGCTTCAGTTATTACTATAGTATCTGTGTAGCGAGACTAAAGAGAAACTGTCAGACTGGAGCGAGAAGACACAGGGTTCCCGAAACAAAGAAAGAAAAGTGGAACTGATAGATTGTGTGGTATATTTGACTCTGTGGGAAATTTAGTCAATAAGGGTTTTAGCTTAGTGTCAGAGAGTCAGGGAGAAAATTATAACAGGTACAGGGCCCAATGAGAAAACCCAACACCAGAACAAGGGTTTACCCCAGGAAAAACAGTAAGGGGTCCAGGAAAGAAATTGGAACTGTATTATACACTTTGATTTGACAGCAAATATCATCATAATAAATACCAAATAGCACCTTACTCCCAAATTATCCTGGGTGGTGGGGAGAATAGGGCAGCCAAGTGCTCATTTCTCAGAGTAGGAAGTCAGCAGGCACTGTCTAAATCGAATCGCCCAAAACATAAGTAAATAAGCACATTGTAAGAAAATAAAGGGCGAGAATTCTAGGAAAAATAGCTATAAAAATATAAAATGGTTGCTTTAAGGGAAATGTCATAGAGGATGGAAAAGTATTGTCATAAAATTAAATAAAAAAGAAAAATGAACTCTGGACATTCCAAAACATTTCCATGACAACTCAACAGAAATGACAGATTTAATAAATGATCGAACTGGCCAACACAGAATAAAGATTTATCAATTAAGACAAACAGATGAAGTGAGAAACTCATCTGTTGCACATTCAAACGCTCTTTGTAGCCATGCAAAGTATAACTAAACAAACCAATACTTAAACTGTGGCTTTTCCTGAAACGCTGCTGCCCTAAGGGCCTCTTCCATCCTTCCACCTTCCCCAGTGACCCACCCAGGAACTGGGCCTTCCTTACCCTCACATCAGCCTGCATTCCCCATAGGTCCTGCTGCCTGCTCAGCTTCCTCAGACCACGGCCTCTCATGCTCAGCATGCCCATATGGAAGAGCAGCACCCTCCTGCGTCTGTGCTCCCCGCTCCCCTCCGGTGCTCCAGCACAGAAGTGAGGGGTGCTGCCACCAGCTTCAGAAGCAGGCTCCAGTGTCAGAGCTAGCTGGCTACCCCAGAAGAGAGGACGGTGCTCACCAGATACTGCCCATCATGCTCATATAAGCTTTCAGTACACTCTCCATAGTCATAGCGGCATCACCAGTATTCTAACTCGTTTCTACCTTCCTCCTCCTCTCATCATCAGCCTTTGGCAGCCTCCAGAAATAAATACATGGTTTTTTCCAAGAAATAAAACAATCAAGAGGGAGTTATTTTTTATTTATTAAATCTGCTGTAACATAAACTAAATGTTCTTTCTATTGGTATCTATAGACTTGACTAAATTTGATTATACTTAAGATTCCAATTCAACCACCTTTCAAGATTCATACAACAAAACTTACCTAATTAATTCTTAAGGTCAAAAAAAAAATTCGAAATGATGTCAAATAACTTTGTCAGACAAACTTACAAGCTAATAGAAAATTTCCCTGGTAACGTAGTATCAAAATGGATGAATTTTTCCTTTAAAATTTAGTCAGCCTATTTTTTTTTCAATCGTCCCACAATTCCTCAGTTGAAAAATTTAAAAAAAAACTTCTTTTCCAACTGAAAAGGAACAAACCTGTTCAAATCAAAGTAGAAGAATATGATGATAGGACATAATTAATTCAGGGAATTTAATTCCGATCTCTCTTTAAGATTCTGCCTTTTGATTTCAATGGCTTTTAAAGAAAAAAAAAGTTCAGTATATAGACATTTAAAAAATTCTCCCCCAAAGCCTAAATTCCTAAATTTTTTTTCTACTCATTTACAGCTAAACCAATCTAGAAGTGGAAGAAAATGTTAAAACTTGCAAACAAGGGGCAAGAGAGAGCGGGTGAGTTACTTGGGGGAAAAAATCTATTACAGTGAGAGCTGAGAAAGCAAAAATTAGTTCAGATTGTAAGTGTCCTATCATCCCTTAGGCACAGACAACACAGCCAACTGCACAGTGATCAGAAGACAATATTTCTTCCAAGCACATACTGCAGCTGGAAATGGTGACAATACCCTTTCCTTGAATAACCACTGGGTTCTTGCTCTACAATCCTAGACTGTCAGGAAATCTGCTGTTTGGAAGCACATCAGTAAGGATGAAACAGCCTATTATTACTTGCAGGATTTATATTTCGATGGTTATCACTGAAAATTAAGTGAAATCCTGCTATTTCAGACTCCCTGACAAGAGGGGAATTGCCCACCTAATTACTGGAAAGTTTGAGTTATTGGGCAATAGAAAAGCAATGTGTTTTCAAAAGCAAACAGTAGCTCGATGGAGTCTCACACAGACTCAGTCCTTGAGCCCGACTCCAAAATGCTCTGAAAAACAGGGTTTGGGGGTAAGATTTAGGGACCCTCATTTAGTGACAATGCCTGCCCTAAACTGATACACAGCTAATTACAGTCTTTATTTATTCCACCTAGTGAGGCTATTCACTAGGTGCCCAGTGCACAAATATTAACGTGTGGCATTATAGGAGGCTATATCGGAGTGGTACCTACATACGGTGTCAGTGTGCATGCATACCTGTTTAAATTCTGACAAATGTCTTTCTCAAAGCTAAAATTCTAACTGAATTCTAAATTGTGAAAAATCCTGAATTCCAAAACATATCCTGAATTCCAAAACACAAGGGTTTTAAGTGATCACAGATATGCAATGTGCTGCATAAGTGATGTCCTACTAAGAAGTCTGGGTTAAAAACAGAGAAATCAGACCTGCACTTAGAACATTAACTATGAGCTGAAGGAATGCTAAGGTGAGCTGTTTCTGAAGTGCAAACCTAGCAATAAAATTATCTTCCTGCCAATTTCATCCCTCAGGAAGGGCAAGGACCTAAAGTGTGCACCTCATTTTCATCCTGGCTTAAAACGTTAAAAACATTCTAGTTAACACTATAAAATCCTACATACCTAAGCACTACACACAGAGAATACAAATCAATTTCTATTTTACTGCAAAAGTTCTCTAAATACATCAAAAGTATGATGTAGATAGAACAAAATGACTCAATAAAATAATTTTAACTGACAAAATTTCTCACTTAAAACACCTAATACTTTACAAGTATTTAAACCTTTTAGTTCAAATACAAATACATATATCCATGCACTATCCAGACTTTTGGGAGGGAGGGGCATTAATGAATTTAATTGTGCTTAATTGAAATCCTGCCTGTGAAATAGCAATGAATTTTTCCTTACTAAAGCAAAGAAATCAGATCCTAGAGTCAATTCCATTTCTTTTGGAAATTCTCCATCATCACAATTTATTATTATTATTATTATTATTATTAAGATTCAAATGTAGAACAGACATCTCCAACTCTTTTAACTACATGCTGAAATGCTCTGAGGGTTTAAGAGAAAGAATTCCTCCAGCCAACAGTTCTACTTGAGTTCAATGAAATCTTTGGCGAGTCAGGCAAGCTCGCTAAAATAATCAGCAACATAGTTTTCAAATTTAGAAAGATTTAAACTCTTAACTTCTCCGACGATTGTCTTTCTAATTCTTCAACATTCAAACAAACCAAAAAATGAACTGCCTTTGTATAGTTATTTAGATGGGTTTAATATTTTAAACCATATTGACAAAAAAAATTTAACTTAAATTTACATTTTACTACAAAAACTATCCCGCTCTCCAAGTCATTCATTGGCTAATTAAGCTGCTTTCGCATGAAAACGTGTCGTAAAAGGAGCAATCTTGCTAAACGTTACTAGTAGTTAAGAAAGTTTCATGTGTTTATGCAACTGCTCTTTGTTTCTGTAGTATACGAAATATATATATATATAACCTCTGCAGGCACATGAACATTTGTACATTGAGTCACTTGGATAAATACAGTGGAATTTTCCAGTGCATTCATGTAAATGTAAATGGCCAAACGAGAATATCTTCTTTCGGAGTTCCCGGTGCCTGTTTCCCAGGACCCGCCGCTTCCACACTGTCGGCGCTGCCTGAGCCCCTGGGGTCTGGGGGCTCCGCACTGATCCCCCGGCCCAGGCCTGGCACCCAGTACAGGAGTCGGGCCCCGAGAGGCTCTAGACGTAGGCGAAAAGCCGGCACCACCTACCTGCCTCTATTCGAAGGATCTCATCAATGTCCCCTCCTTTTTCAAAGGCCGACGGCCCCAAGCGTCCCGGCCCCGCAGAGCCTGGACACCTAGAAAGCCCGCTTCTCCGCTTGCCGCTTCCCCAGCCCCAAGGCGCCCGGGGCTCCGCGTCCCTGTGGGCCGAGCGGAAAGAGCGCGCGCCACACCTACCTGCGCAGGTAAGGCGAGGGCGGGGTGGCTTGGGGTCGAAGAGCGGGGAGCCGGGCGCGGGGCCGTCGAGGAGCAGAGCCGCCGCCGGCTCCTCCTCGCTCCTCCCGCCGCCGTAGTCGCCTCAGCCGCCCAGCGCACGGCGCTTCCTCATTTTGGGCAACTTCCTTAACGCGCCCAGGCAAGCCCGGCACTTCCTCCCGGCCGCCGCCCCAGCGCCCCGTGCGCCCCCAACGCCGCGCGCGCCCCCAGCGCCGAATGCGCCCAGAGAACCCGGGGCAGGGCAGCGGCGGCCGGAGCGCGCGGGAGCCGGGCGCGGGGCGAGCCTGGGAGGCCGGAGGGGAGGAGGAGAGCAGCCGGGTAAGCGCTCCCCACGCCTCCCAGGCACAGAAGCCCTGGGACAGGGGCCTTCGTATACCAAGAGGAGCGCTGCCAACAACAGGAACCCCTCCCCCTGTCGCCTTAAGGACGACAGGCTGTCGGGGCACACCCATTTCCCCGTGTAATTTCTCAGGAAGAGAATCTTTCTTCCTGTGCGGTGTATTCCCAGTCATCAACCCAAGACACCCCTGCTGACCGGTGACCAGGTGACCCTGGAATTCCGCCAGGTGACCTTCTGCCTTAGGTGAACGCCGGACTTCATGGCGCACACAGCCTGTCCATCGCAGCAGGTTTTCTGATGGCTTTAATTATTACGAAGTTCTTGACAGTGAGTTTAACTTCCTTCTACCTACAGCGGCCTGCTGTCTGCAGCTAAATAAATTAAGTGTAATTCTTTTCTGTAGTCCTTAAAATGGTTTAAAACACCTGCCTGATTCCCCTTCCCCATCATCTCTCTGCCCCCCTTTTCTTTGTCTGTTGGACAGCCCTCTTTAAAATGTTCCCCTGAAAGTTTCCAGTCCCTCACAATCTTGGTAACACTGTTTCGAAAAGCTGTACCCTGAGCCAAAACACAATAACTAAAACAAAATATTTAGTGTGCTAGATTATAATTGCCATGGAGAAAAATAAAGTGATAGGGAGTGTTTACATTCGATTGGAGCCCCTCAGACTTTCCACTTGGTCATTCTCTTCCAGTCATTTTGCTATTTAATTTTTAACCCAACGGAATGGTTTTTATTATATTTGTTAACCACTGGTCTTATTTTTGTTTCAAAGAGCGAACGAAATAGCCAGCCGTTGTTCTCTAAAAGGGTGGAGGCTGCAGGAGTTTTTTAGAGTTGGCGATGTTGCTGAAAACCAGGGGACCTGCCTTGCGTTTCCAGAAATTACATGTTTCCTTAGGGGCTGCTAATGGCGGTGAGGTAGATGATGTTCTAGATTCATCTGCACGCCACCCTTTAGCACTGCTGCGGTCCTTCCCACCTTTAAGTCATCTTTAAAAAGTTAGTGTGTTTGTAATGATTTTTTTAATGTTAAAATTATCACACAAATACATACCTAGAAAAAAATCTTCCTGAAACTCAATGAATATCTCCTAGCTTTTCTTTGTTTCCCCCATGTGCTGACTTTGCTTTTTATCTTTTCACTGTGATAAATCGTAGCTGTGATTGTATGCTGAGTCCTGGAAGCCCTCCTAGCAAAACCCGCATCAGGATGATCTCAGGGACACCCCGCGCAATCACTTTTTAAAGTTGATTCCCTGTAGAGTCTTAATTTTTTTAAATTTCTTTAAAAATAGTAGGTTTTTTCTGTTGTTGTGTTAATTCCACCACATGAAGTCTTGCATGTCTGCTTGTGTTGACTGAGTGTTTCTGTTGTTCTTGTACATGGTGCCTGCCTTCCTGTGTACTTGGTCACGTTAGACTGGGAGCCACTTGGTCATGTTAGACTGGGAGCCACTCATTGTCCCTCAAACTATTTGTGGAGATTAGTTGAGGCCTAGGAAGTAGGTATTTTCTTTCAGAGAGAATTTTCCTTTGCTTCTGTCCAAAGCCTAGGGTTCAACTAGTGTTTGGACAATTTAAGAAAATTTCTCGGGCCAGCCGAGTGGCGTGTTGGTTAAGAGTTGGCTTGGGGGGCCGGCCGAGTGGCTCAGTTGGTTAAGAGCTCACTCAAGAGTTTGAGCTCTAAGCAACAGTGGTTCGATGCCCAGCCGAGATGAGCTGCCAACAGGTAGCAGGATGGCTCAGCGAAAAAAAAAAAAAAAAAGAGTTGGCTTGGGACACCAGCTCTGAGCAGCAGGGCCCCAGTTTGGATTCCACATGAGGGCTAGTGACACTGTGCCCTCTACAGCTGAGATGCTGAACAACAGCTTGACCTGGAGCTGGGCTGCCATGAGTCGCTGGCAACGGTGTAGGCTGCAGTGGAGCTGGCCGCAGTGGGCATGAGCTTTCATGAGCTGCCATGAGCCGCCTTGAGAAGCCGTCCAATGCCCAGCGAGCAACTGCCTCACCCGGGAAGATCACAATGATAATACCAACATGGGCCAGTGAAGTGACGTCCTCCACAACTAGACTGAAGAACAAAAGGACAGCAACTTGTCTGTTCCCCTTCCCCGATTCCCCAACCCTGTTCCCCTCCCCCAATTCCCCAATAAAATCTTTAAAAAAAAAAATCTCTCACGTTACTTTTTTTTTAGATCATGAAGGTGATACGAATTTTGGGCTGGAAATTTGGGCACAATTTTGGTCAACTTGTAGTTACAGTTTCTCAAGGATGCATTTCTAATGTTTCTGCTCTGTGCTTCCTTTCACTTTTTATTTTGGAGTTGTTTCTTGTATTCCATGTTTCTTTCTCTTCCTTAGTTTACTCCAACATTTTGGTGGATCACAAGCTCCAGGAGTTTCCTGAGAAATGGAAGTAGATACTTTAAAGACCTTCCATATGCAAAAAGTTTCTACCTTCAGGTGTGATTGATGGTTTGGATGTGTTCCTCCTTCCCACATGATTGTATAGAATTCCAGTTTGGAAATTACTTTTCCTCACAATTTCAAGTCATTATTTTATTATTTTCTTGCTTGCAGTGTTGCTGTTGAGAAATCCAAACCATTCTGAATCTTTATCCTTCTTTTTATTCTGATTTTTTACCCTTTGAGCATAGTTACTAGTCGGTTGTTTTACCTTGCCCACACTTGCTAGCTTTCTCCAGACCTTCTGTTTGCTCTGCTCCTCTGTGGGTGACAACTCCTTGATCCTCACATCAGATCCTTTTCTTTCTCTGTTCTGGGTGACAGTTTTAGGGCGTATTAGTCCCTTTATGCCTGAATTTCTATAGCCTTTGGGCATAGGGGAATGGAGTTGTGTTGCAATAACTGGGCTCTTCCCTCCTGCATGAGAATGTCTTGAATACAGGAGGGTTCACTCTTCACTGGGGGATGGAGAGAGAAGAGCTTATCCTGTTCTTTTGGGGGCAGCTTTGAGCATTAGCTCTGTTCCCAGTTAATGTGGGTCCTCAGACTTCTGACAGTCATGCATAAGCTCACATTTCTCTTTTTTCTCTCATCTCCACTGCAGCCATTTTCACTACCTCATAGTCAAAAATGGGGAAAGCTAAGAAAAATTATCACTCCTCTTTCGTGTCTCAAGATTTGAATAAGAATTGTCAAGATTTTGTAGACTCACCAGATATGATTTCTGGGAGGTGGGAGCATGACCTCACCCTGATCCTCTCAAACTTCTGTTTTTTATATGAGCTAGCACTTTCCAAAGTCCATCTCATGAAGCCCTTCTCCTTTCCTTGTTTTGTTACTAGTGGTAACTTTTGCAGTTTTGTTTTCTCTTCCTTCCCTTTTTCCTTTGGTGGCAGGGAGGGAGGGGACTTTTTTGTTTCTAGATAATGGGGCCTTGAAATTCCATGAATATTTCACCACTTTTATCCAGAATTTAATGCCAGGAATGTTTTTTTACTGTAGAGTATACCTATACATTGTACATTTTAATATTTAGAATACAAGGTCCTCATTTTTATCTCTTTCAAATTAAAAATACATGAATTACACATGACATATGTTAGGATGCTTTAGGTTGCAAATAAAAGAATACTCAACTCCAACTATTGAAACAGTAAAATTTGATTAGCACAAAAAGGGAAAGTTCCAGAGTGAGGACAGCATCAGGTGTACTTTTATACAAATAATTTTAAGTTGAGATATAAGTCACACAACACAAAATTCACCATTTTAACCATTTTAAAATATAGGTGTACCTTTACAAAATGTAATTACTTAACCCTATCTTGTCTTAAGAAGGCAAGTTGTTTGTGTTAGACCAGCATTGCCAAATCTCAGCGATGCCCATCACCTGGGCACATCTATCTGTCTGCCAGGATGCCACAGAATGTCACAGAAGGAAGCCCTCCTTCTGCTGCTGGACTCCCTCACAAACTCAACTCTGATTTAAAAGTGACCTTTCACCTACAAATGGTGGACTTCCTTTTTTTTCTGTTGTCAGTGACGTTTTGAACAAGGAAGAAAAAAGTTACTTAAGGACCAAGGAAAGCATTTGAACTTTGACCACACGTGACCAGCCCAGTGATAAGAACTGGCCAGCAGTCAAAAGCAGGCCTAGCATCCCAAGGCTGCCCCTTTCCTGGGCATGTGGCTCTGAGGAAGTCAAGTCTCCTCTGCATACCTCTGATTTCTTATTTTCTGTGAAATTCAAGTTGGCAAACAATTGTGTGTGTTTATTGCCAAACATGACCCTAAGCCCTGGAGATTAAAAAGGATGGAAAAATTTATGCTGAAAAATAACTTCCCCTTCACATACCTCAACAGGTAGCCATGTATTTGTCTAACACTTTACTTTTTAAAAATATAATTACAGTTGGCCCTCAGTAGCTGAGGATTCGATCAACCATGGAGCAAAAATATTGGGGGGAAAAATCACAGAAAGTTCCAGAAAGCAAAACTTGAACTTGCCACACCCAAGAATTACACTGAATCCACACAAATAGAGTGGTATGCAAATATAGGTTATATGCAATTGACTCATTTTTTATTATTGAGTTTTAAGAGTTTGTTTTTTTTTAACATATTTTGGATACAAGCCCCTCATTAGATATATAGTATTCTCCTATTTTGAGGATTGTGTTTTTCACTTTCTTGATGGTATCATTTGCAGGACAAATTTTTTTTTAATTTTGATGAGTTAAATTTATTTAGTTTTGCTTTTGTTGTTGTGTTTTTGTAGTGTATCTGAGAAATCATTGCATAACCCAAGGTCAAAAAGATTTACTCCTATGTTTTTCTCTAGTTTTATAGTTTTAGCTCTTACATTTATGTTTCAGATCCATTTTGAATTAATTTTGGATATAGTTTAGGACAGAAGTCCAACTTCAGTTTTTTGTGTGCACATATCTAGTTGTCCCAGCACAACAGTAGTTATTGAAACAAGTACAGTTGACCTTTGAACAACGCAGGTGTTAAGGGCGCCAAACCTCCTCACAATAGAAAATCTGCATATAACTTTTGACTCCTCAAAAACTTAACTACTAATAGGCTACTGTTGACTAGAAGCCTTACCAATAACATAAACAGTCAATTAATGCATATTTTATATACTGTATTCTTACACTTAAATGAGCTAGAGAAAATGTTATTAAGAAATTCAAAGGAAAAGAAAATACATTCACAGCACTGTATGTATTTATTGAAAAACATCAGCCTCTAAGTGGACCTGTGCCATTGAAACCCATGTTGTTCAAGGGTCAAGTGTATTCTGTTCGCAATTAATTGTCTTGACACCCTTGTTGAAGATCAATGCAAAAGTTTATTTCTGGACTCTAAATTCCATCTCATGATCTATGTATCTGTCCTTACTCCAGAATTACAGTCCTGATTACTATAGTTTTGTAGTACCTTGGAAATTGGAAAATTTGAGTCCTCCAACTTTGTTCTTTTTTCAAGATTATTTTGGCTATTATAGTTGCTTTGTATTGTGATAAGAATTTTAGGATCAACCTGTCAATTTCTGCCA